GATTGATGGCTGCGGTGCTGCATGGATACATTAGTACATACATGCACCCATATCTACCGTAGTGGTCATTGGCACGATGCCAACAAGCACCGCCGAAACTGCTTTCTGATTTGTGTGAAACGAAGGCTTTTCTCACAAGTTTTGACCGTTTCACTTCGCTTTTTCGCCATTTTTCCACTATATAGCACCCCTGCTACTATATTTTAGACAGAGAATCAAACTATCGTGCTAACTGCCTTGAAGAATTATTTGGGGTATCTTCGACGTTTCAGTATTATGGCTTCTTCACCGTAAGTCGCTTAGCACCTGCGATCCCTTGTTTCGATCCCTCAGCACACGAACTGCAATAGCAAATGTATTTTTGAATGCAGCGCAACCTTTAAAAATTGTAAAAAATGAGATCGCAACAAGTGTGGAAAAATTTGAAACTGTTTGAGAGAAGTGTCGTAATTTCTTTATTAATCACCTTCCGTTCAAAAAATTGACCGATCAGGCTCGATGCAGATAATGGAGCAAAATTAGGAGCGACACTCGAGATAAAGCTTTGGAACCGGATTACAGTCGTGTACTCTCTTATCTATTCATCGATCTTCTGCTACAGAACACGAAATAGACAGGCATCCAAGACTCTCTCGGTTTAGGGACAGCGGAAGGCTATACGAACTCTCCTGCAATGAGCTGATTGTTGTCCTGACGTCAAAAGCCTTCATCCTAGCTCACTGGAGCGACGTGCGAGGAAAGGAAGAACCGCAAACCAGCAATCGCATGTTGTCCAGCTATTCGCGGGACCTGTAACAAATCTTTTCAGTTTTGCGCTTACTGCGGAAAACTAACCAGATTTCCTACCTGTGTGGCAGTGCCTCAAAAGGCTCTATCGCAATATCCTTCGAGGAGGAGACGTCAGGATGACGAAGAAAGGTGGAGGGCGATTTGGAGTAGCCGTCATTCGTGCGAGATCCTGATTTCTGGTCGGCTTATATACGTGGATAAGCTGACGTGCGTCAACGTGCTGTTTGGCGGCGCTCCCATACCATGTCATCGGGAAGGGTTAGCCTTTAGATTGTTTGCTATCCACCGG